GAGTTATCTGTCCCTTCTACTGAAAATCAAAAATGATATTTTATAAAGTGGTGTGAAAACCAGGAGCTACGGCTAGCTCCTGCCAGAGCCTGAAGATCAGTTAGATCATCTTAGTGCAAAGACTATGTCTGTCAGACTAACCTGCCACCTTGGTTTCTCCAGTTTTTGGTTACCAGTCTTTCTGGCCAGACCCCTGGAACTTGGCTAGTCCTTCTGAAATAGTTGACCCCTGTTCATGTCCTTTCTGCGGTGTGCCTTGAACGCATCTGTGTGCTTCAGACCAAGAGAACAGAAAGTCCTGCAACATCAACCTGTTCTTTGCTGTTCCCACCCTTTTGTGTATCACTTCCTACATACCCATAAGAACAAACAAGCCTAAGAGGAATGGCAAAACCAACTGTGGAATGGACGTGTATGCCACCTGTTAGAATAAATGTTCAATGTTGATGCAGGTGACAAAGGCTAAGTGGCAACAGAAAGCTCGCATGACTTGGTCGCAGTTCATGAAGGTTAACCTTAAACCCCACTGCATGCATCTTATAAATGTGGTTGAGAGGTGGCCTTTCCCCTCTTAGCTTGCAGGGCCCTTCCCTCGGTGGAAATGATGCTTTCTGTGTTTGGATTTGAAGGCTACTGATGAGTGTTGGATAGTAGGGAGTGTAGTTGGCCGATTTTGGCATGGTTTAGGATGCTCTTTGTGTGTCAGATCAGCACTTGGTTTGTTCCACTGGCTCCCAGTCAGATTTCAGTATTGTCTAAGGCTTTGGTCTTGGTCTTCAAAGCAACTGTTGGATCAAACACCTCAGCTACATCAAAGGCTGTATTTCTATTTGTGAACTGCCAGAATAGCTGTATTCTTCTGGGGCAAAACAGATGACGAAATATCAGAGCAACCAAGCATCAGCAGGGGACACAGTGTTGTGGGTTGCGGGCCATGCTATGAAAAAAAAAAAAAGCCAAAACAACTGCGAGACGATCAGGTGAATTCAGACTAAGATGTTCTAAAGGAAATGCTACACAACCTCTCTGTGAATGTGTTCCACCATAAACATGATGCAGAAATAACTCCCGTTTTCATCTGAAAAATAATTGTCAAAAAGAAGAAAGTTAATAAAATTCAGAATGCTGTCAGCTCATGAAAGGGATTATATTTTTAAATATCCTTTTATATGAGCCATAATATGCTCAATTTTTAAAAGTTGTAGGGTAACCTCCAAGCAGTATTTAAAGCTTACCTTTTCTTAGCATTAAAATCACAAACACCACGTACTGGGAGAGGCCATATTATTAGCAAAAGCTAAAGGGCGGCATAGCTCAAAAGATACTGAATATTGTATGACTGTTGATGGACTCAAATCAAGTCTGATCAATTTCTAAACAAACCGTAAAGCTTTTGGTTTTAGCTGATCAGAAATATTCCCCCACTGTGCTTCATAAAGTACTATGGACAGAATTGATAGTGCCAAAACGATTCTTTCTCCCCCTTCAGCCCCTGGTTGCTAGGAACTGATAAATTGCTTTGAGCTGCGCATAAAAATTACAGCTCCAGACAATTTAATTGGATAATGAAATAAGTACCTATTAAATTTGATATAAATTAAATACCATAATAAATATGTATTCTATAAATTAAATCTTGGAAAATACAATAGTTTTTTATGTATGTGTAGGTTTTCACGGGAAGGTTTTTCAGTTCTCTCTTTTTATCTCATGGTAATAGATAATTTTCACCTGAGTGCCTAATGCCTGGTAGAAATGAGATGACGTTCTGTGTTTCTGAACATTTGAGTCCCTTGAGTGTCTGTTTTCTTAAAGAGGTACATCAATTTCCTCATTTTTAGCATCTCTTAGCCTGCCTAACACATATGCCTGAGCTCCAGCAGCCATTCAGCCTTCTTTACGAAGAGAGGAAGTTGTCATTAGGTCTGGTACCAAAGACAACTAGAAGTTGAATTGGAGGTATTTTGTCGAGAAGCAGGACAAAAGCTGTAGAGGAACCTGCCCTGTTTGCTTCATCTGGTGTGTGTTTCCAAAATGACTACAGTAAGGTAGAGGGTGATCATTATTGACTTGGTGCAGTGTGGAGGGTTGAAGGCAATGAGGTTTCGAAACCCTCCAGCACAAAAATTGTGATTAATTTTTCTAAAATGTTGAGTTTGTGTAAGGAGAATCTCCTTATGCCTTAGAGAGAGACTGTGAATGCAGAAATGTTTTCATCTCAACGCCAAAGTGGAAAGCCTTTGTGCAAAGTTTCTGTGGAACTAGATTGCAAAATACATGGGCCAACCTGTCTGGCATGAAAAAAAAAGAGAGAGCTTGTAACCCCTTTAGCGGAATGAAAACAGCCAAGTGAGTGCCACTGAACCCTGGTCTCCTAACTGGCCTGATTTGATGTCTGAATGGGTTTCCTTTCACGGCTGAACCTTGTAATAAATGCATGCTCCAAAGCACATTGTCACTAACCTGAGACATAAACTGCAGGTGGTCAAAATCTGTTCTTCAGTTAATCTCTTCTTTGATAGCAATTGTCTTAGGAAGGATCTAATCCTGAGCCTGTAAATTGCATCCTATTTGTATCTGAAGAATTTTTACAAGTGTTATCTTGAGCTATGCTTTGACTTTTTTTTCTCCAGCTCTTGTAGTGAGTAATGTGAAGTTAAGTCACAAGATTTCTTCTTCCTGACTGGCTGATATAAATTTGAAGCAAGAGGGGAAAAATAATGAGTTTCTGTTGTTCAGCTGTGGATGATGAATGTTCATGTTCAAGTTCTTAACAATTTCAGGGACTTATGAATATTTTAATGAATATGTAACAGGTGATACTCATAAGAAATATGACCCCATGACTCCTGATGAATTAGAGGCATCTTTGCCAATTATTTCTTTTGTTACAGTAAGCATTACCTTGAACACATTTCTGCAGATTTTCTGCTGGAAAAAAATGAATATGATATCGTAAAAAAAGCAGAAGTTTGATCTCTGTATATGTAATTGTCTTATGTGTGCATAAATAAATTACAAAACTTAGGAAGCAATGCAATCTCAACATTTTACTGAGATAATAGAATATGAATGAACAGCCCAACTGGCAATAAATGTCAGTATTGCAGAACTCTCTTGCATAGTGTTACACATACTTTGGTCCATACAACAGCTTTTTTTTTTGTTAATATATAATTGATCGCACCAATTGTATTCAAAGAATAGATGCAATGGGAGGGACAAGTAAAGAGCAAATAATGCTTAAGAGAAGTTGAAATAAACTATAATGCAGAATGCTTTTCAAATATGGAAATTTGTTAACAAAAAGGTGACCTTCAAAATAGTTTTCTGTTGAGGTAGCAGTGCTCTGTAATACGGTACTAAAAGATGAGCTAGAAGATATTTTTTGTAAGCAAAAAAATACACTTCAAAAAACCAAACCCAACCCAACTTTGTTGTGAAGTAGCACCTGAAGTTCCCAGTAATGAATGGGCTTTGCAGTCAGTGGTTGTGTTACCTCGAGCAGCCTACAGTGCTGCTGAGTCTGGGGATGCTTTAGTGATCTTACATGCCTAGCTATACAATTACCTTTACCAATATTTCAAAATAGTCAAGAACAAAATATGTGTTTACTTATGTTTTTCTTCTGCCTCTGATGGCAAATCTGGCTTTTAGCCCTTCCTTCTGCTTGCTCTCAGTGCACTGCAGAAGTGCCACTGGGCAGGCAATAGAGGACTCTTGCAGCGGGGACTAATCTTACCCTTCACCAGCTCATTTCCATCCACACGCTCTATATGCAGATATTAAAGGGATGTTTAGTATGTTTTTTGTTCAGCTTCAGTTTTGTTGGGTTGGGGTTTTTTACATTTATTTTTATTGTGGTGAGGTTTGCGCACGTAAGGACAGTGTTCTTTTAAAACCTGGAGATGGGTGGAAATGAGGGAAAAATCAGAACAAAAATGAACTTTAAATATTTGGTGATGTGAAGTTATTTGTAGAATGAAGAATCACTTAAATGAGTACAGTTTTGGAAACTCAGCTGTGTGCGTGGTGATTAGATATATAAACAAAAGGTAGTGATGTCTTTACTTATAGTTTCTTTGCATTTGGTTTTGCTTTTCAGTATAAATATACATGGATCTAGGGTTCACGTTGCTTAGAAATGCCTGTAAGCTTTTTGTTTGCATTTTTGTGTGCGTATACAATTGCACATGCCCTCCAGTCCATCTGCTTTCTATGCCTGTTAGCAAAAAATTTACAAAAGTAGTGCCACCAGTTCAGAACTGTGCGGAGCAGAACCTCTATCTGCAAAAGCAGGCAGCTCTATTATATTATCCAAGACTTTTATGGAGCAGCGTCTTCT